AGTCCCGGATGCGTAAGGCCAAAGCCCACAACCATAGGCCCAAAGCGACGGAGTGCCTGCAGCCGAGTTCCTAGTAGAGAGCGCTCCTTACTTGGCTGCAGGCCCTGTTTGATCCGGGCGAGTAGGACCAAAGCCTCTATCCATAGGCCCAAATCACCAGGGTGCCTACAATCAAGTTCCTTGTAAGGAGTGCTCTTCACTTGGTGCTCGGCTGCAGGCCCTGGCACTTTGGGCCTACGTGTGTGCCAATCGATCCAAAAAAACGGCTTGGAGCAGGTACCTGCTCCTGCCTGCCTTTCGTATTGAGTTTATTTTCATTCCAGGAGGGGCCTTTACGTTCCGTGCCATCTGAATGGACGGAACAAAACAGAAACACTAATCAAACGGATGAGACAAATTTCGGGCCCATGATTTGTTGCATTAAATTGATCTATCTTACAAGCATTACAATTTACCTTTGGTGATTTATCACTTTGGACAACTCTATAAATCCATTTTTGAATGAGTAAGGTTGGAGAGAAATGAAGGGAGAAAAACAACACAAAAATTTGTACTTTGTTCTTATACTCTGTCACAATTTCCTTGAAGGGACTTAGCCAAAGCTAAGCTATGCTTTCAAAACTCATTCACCACCACAGATGAAGATATATGGTTAGGAGATCAGGAAGCTGGGTGGCAGCACCAATGAAGTCACCTTGAAATTCCAATCATACTTTCAACAAGGATCACTTTCTTATCAAACAGAGAATGATGACAGTATTATTTCTTTCAGCTAATTAATGCCTCATCCAATCACACTGCCGTTGTCACCATACTGTGATTACATCTATATCTACCTCTTAGTAAGTTTAAGGAAATGATGCACCAACCCATTGTCTGAATCTGGGGCAAATTGCCAAGTTATGAGAATGTGTTGGATACAGTTAAACAAACCAAATATTTCTAGAGAATGAGACCATCTTATGCACGCCTGCTTTACAGTTTCAGTGGGGATGGGGATGGGAGAGCATCTCTTTTACATTCCAGATAGTCAGTCTAGTTTGAGAATTGCACTGTTTGAAAAGAATCCAAGTCTTCAGTAAAGGAAAATTTACAACAGCATTCCTATTAAAAGTACACTCTAATGACTTCTAACAACACATATAAAAACACTAATCTATTAAATGTTATTTTTATGAGGTATCTCCCTTTTACACAGTGTCTTTCTCTCAAAAGTTTTCCTCCATCATCCACCTTGGAACTACTTTTGGAAGATGAAGTAAACCTCAGACTCTGGGAGGTGTTCCTCCCAGCTTGGAGGAGAGTCAGACATGCCCCTTTCCGTAGGTTACACAAGTATTCTCTCATTTCATACCATGCAAGCAAGTGCCACCCACACACACTCCTTGGGTCAGGTCCTGCATGGAACTACCTAACAAATGTTTAGCAATGCGTGCAAGTTATGATAGGAAGACTCAAGATAGGAAATTTTTCTATGGAACATCTCCCACGTTTGCACAACTCAGTCAACAGCTGTTTTAGCACCACACAATACTTAACCCCTGAGAAAACAGAAAACACAAGTAACATCTGACAAAGCAGAAGTGATTTATGAATGAACATTTTTAATTCATTCAGTCAAGAGTAGGGTTAAAAATGTTGGGGTTGATCCATTTCTATTACTTTTTAATTCTGATTTAGAGTCTGATAAAAAAAAGGATCATGTGATCTCCTCCATTATTCTTGTACCACCATTTTTATCCAGTTTATCCAGAGGTTGAGTATCTCATATCCAAAATTCCTGGGACCCTCTTGAAGATAGTAGCCAAGTTTAAACATTTACTTCACTTATGTTTCATATACACGTAGCCTGAAGGTAATTTTATGCACAAGTTGTGTAGTAATATTATGCATGAAAAAGTTGGTGTCCACTGAAACAGCAGAATTCAAAGGCATCACTTTCTCTGCCATCCACGAGGCCAATTTTGGAGTGTTTCCGGGATTTGAGATAAGGGATACTCAACCTGCACTCTGTTTGTTGTGACTCATTTGTGGCAAGGAGGTGACCCATGCCATCAGTTGAAAACCAATAGGTGTAAATATAAAAGTGACCTAGGCCCGTAATCTGAATCAGCCTAAAGTAGAAGTGTTAAATTTGTGGCCCTCCGGATGTTTGGGCCTCCAACTCCCAGCTTGTCCAAAGGCCTGTTTTACTGGATGACACCTGTCAGACAGCATGTCAGGAAGCATTTGAGAGCCAACGAGGAAGATCAAGCGAAGGAGGCTCAATAATACTGCAAAAGAGGACGATAACGTCTAATTTGACAGAAAAACTCAGATGGGCCTTCTATACAGCCATATAACCCAGAATACCAAGGCAGATAATCCCACATTATCTGAGTGTGGACTCTGATAACTCAGGGCCCTTCCACACAGCCATATAACTCAGAATATCAAGGCAGAAAATCCCATAATATCTGCTTTGAACAGGGTTATCTGAGTCCACACTGCCATATAGTCCAGTTCCAGCTGGATTTTATTCAGCTGTGTGGAAGGGGCCCATGTTCAAAGCAGATATTGTGGGATTTTCTGCCTTGATATTCTGAGATATAGTTCTGTGTGGAAAGGCCCTGAGTGCACATTGCCATATACTCCAGTTCAAAGAAGGTAATGTGGGATTGTATTCAGCTATGTGGAAGGGACCAAAGCCCCCTTCCACACAGCTGTATTTATTATTTATTTATTTATTTACTTTACTTGTATACCGCAGTTTCTCAGCCTAACCGGCGACTCAACGCGGTTTACAACAAGAATAAAATCAATCACGATATACAATTTAAAACCACAAGAGCACAATATACAATATTACACAACAATAACAACACAATGCATCTCATAACTAGAGTCGTGATCCAAATTCGTCGTCCATATTTCCATTCCTGTAATCGTCACATTCATTGCACTGATTAACCAAATGCCTGTTCAAACATCCAAGTTTTTAATCTTCTTCGGAACACCATTAGCGAGGGGGCTGATCTTACCTCCATGGGAAGGGCGTTCCACAGCCGAGGGGCCACCACAGAAAAGGCCCTGTCTCTCGTCCCCGCCAGCCGCACTTGTGAAGCAGGCGGGATAGAGAGCAGGGTCTCCCCAGAAGATCTCAGGGTCCTGGTGGGCTGATAGACAGAGATACGTTCGGATAGGTAACTTGGGCCAGAACCGTTTAGGGCTTTAAAGGCCAACGCCAGCACTTTGAATTGAAAATCCACAGTATGGCAATGTGGACTCAGGGCCCTTCCACAGCTATATAATTCAGAATATCACTGAGGGCCCTTCCACACAGCCCTGTATCCCAGAATATCAGGCAGGAAATCCCACATTATCTGTGTGTGCACTCAGGGAACCCAGATCAAAGAAGGTATTGTGGGATTTTCTACCTTGATATTCTGGGATATGGAAGGGTCCTTGGTTATTTGGGGCACCTTCCACACAGCTGAATAAATTCCCACATGTTCTGCTTTGAACTGGAATATATGGCAGTGTGGACTCAGATAACCCAGTTAAAAGCAGATATTGTGGGATTCTCTGCCTTGACCTTTGGGGTGACCCTTCCACACAGCCCTATATCCCAGAATAAGGAGCCCCCAGTGGCACAGTGGGTTAAACCCCTGTGCCAGCAGGACTGAAGACTGACAGGTCACAGGTTTGAATCTGGGGAGAAGCAGATGAGCTCCTTCTATCAGCTCCAGCTACTCATACGGGGACATGAGAGAAGCCTCCCACAAGGATGATAAAAACATCAATTCATCCGGGCGTCCCCTGGGCAACGTCCTTGCAGATGGCCAATTCTCTTACACCAGAAGCGACTTGCAGTTTCTCAAGTCGCTCCTGACACGACTATATATATATATATATATCCCCCAGAATATAGAGGCATAAAATCCCACAATCTCTGCTTTGAACTGTGTTATCAGTATCCACACTGCCATATATTCCAGTTGAAAGCGGATTTTATTCAGCTGTGTGGAAGGGGCCTAGGTTAGATGGCTGTGTGGATGTGCCCTGAGTCCACACTGCAATATAATCCCACTTCAAAGCAGATATTGTGGGGTTTTCTGCCTTGATCTTCTGGGTTAGATGGCTGTGTGGAAGGGCCCTTGATTATCTGTGGGCCCTTCCACACAGCTGAACAAAATCCCACATGTTTTGCTCTGAACTGGAATATATGGGAGTGTGGACTCAGATAACCCAGTTCAAAGCAGACATTGTGGGGTTTTCTCCCTTGATCTTCTGGGTTAGATGGCTGTGTGGAAGGGCCCTGAGCCCACATGCCATATAATCCAGTTCAAAGCAGATATTGTGGGTTTTTCTGCCTTAATCTCCTGGATTAGAGGGCTGTGTGGCATGGCCCTGAGCCCACACTGCCATATAATCCACTTCAAAGCAGATATTGTGGGGTTTTCTGCCTTGATATTCTGGGATACAGGGCTGTGTGGAAGGGCCCTTGGTCTGGGGCCCCTTCCACACAGCTGAACAAAATCCCACATGTTCTGCTCTGAACTGGAATATATGAGAGTGTGGACTCAGATAACCCAGTTCAAGGCAGACATTGTGGCGTTTTCTGCCTTAGAATCATAGAATCCTAGAGTTGGAAGAGACCTCATGGCCCATCCAGTCCAACCCCCTGCCAAGAAGCAGGGATATTGCATTCAAAGCACCCCTGACAGATGGCCATCCAGCCCCTGTTAAAAAGCTTCCAAAGAAGGAGCCTCCACCACACTCTGGGGCAGAGAGTTCCACTGCTTTGATCTCCTGGATTAGACGTCTGTGTGGAAGGGCCCTGAGCCCACACTGCCATATAACCCAGTTCAAAGCAGATATTGTGGGGCTTTCTGCCTTGATCTCCTGGATTAGAGGGCTGTGTGGCAGGGCCGAGGGAGAGGCGAGAGGCTCGCGCCCATCCTCCAGAGCCATGCCCTGAATGAATGGCTGGCAGGCAGGCTGGACGTCGTCTGACTGACCTTGCTTTGGCCTTTGGCCACACAGCCGTTCTTCCTGGCGAGGAGGGGCCCCCTTTTGTGGTGCCCGTTGGCGAGGCCATTCGGCGTCTTGGCAGCCATGGCTCCTCCGAAGGCGGCCCTCAGCGGGAGGAGGAGGAGGCGGAGGAGGAGGGCCCGGGACCTCCTCACCTTTCCCCGGGAAAGACAGGCAGGAAGGAAGGCAGGCAGGAAGAAACCGCGCGGCGAGGGATGGATGGATGGAGGCAGCCTCCCTTCAGCATGCAACTGGTCCGTCTGGCTCGTCGAGGAAGGCTATCGCGGCGCAGATCTGAGCCCAAAGAGGAAAAAGCGGAGGAGGAAGAGGAGGCTTCAGCCCAGGAGGGCCCGCAAGACCATGCTTCTTGGGGACCCCGTTGGAGGAGCCGCGACGGGGCTGGAGCCTGACGAGGAGAAGGGAGAAGGAAGGGAAGCTCCTCGCAAGGCAAGGCGGGGACCTAAGGAGAGGCCCGGCCGCCCTCGACGCCCCCGGCCAAGGGCAGCTCCGAGAGGCGGCGGAACGCACCGCGAAGACCGGTTACCATTGCATCACAGGAGTGCAATCCTCCTCCTCCTCCTCCTCCTCTCCTGGCAACTGGGAGCGGGAAAGGAACAGACCCAAAGCAGCCGGGAGACTCACACACACACAGAGAGAGAAGGGAAAAAGGACCCCAGGCACCTGCCCAGAAGATGAGAGACAGGGCTGTGTAAAAAGGAAAAAAAGCGCGGGAAGAGTCAAAGGCCACACTTCCAGAAGTAGGGCGGGTTGAGCCCGCTTTTAAGGGCCACATACTACTCTCTGGAGATTATTACCACAGGACGGCATTCAAGAGAGGCAGCCTCAGGCTCCCATATTAAATCCCACATAATGAACAGGATTATGTGGCGGTGTAAACTCATACAATCCGGTTCAAAGCAGATGCAGGCTGACGGAATCGACTAAAGTCTATGGCCCCGTCTACACTGCCTATGAAAACACCTGCTGCTAACTCCTTTCAGGGCCCTTCCACACAGCCAGAATATCAAGGCAGAAAATCCCACATTTTGAGCTTGGAACTGGAATACAGGGCAGTGTGGACTCAGATAACCCAGTTAAAAGCAGATATTGTGGGATTATCAGCTTGGAACTGGAATATAGGGCAGTGTGGACTCAGATAACCCAGTTAAAAGCAGATATTGTGGGATTATCATCTTGGAACTGGAATACAGGGCAGTGTGGATTTAGATAACCCAGTTAAAAGCAGATATTGTGGGATTATCAGCTTGGAACTGGAATACAGGGCAGTGTGGACTCAGATAACCCAGTTAAAAGCAGATATTGTGGGATTATCATCTTGGAACTGGAATACAGGGCAGTGTGGATTTAGATAACCCAGTTAAAAGCAGATATTGTGGGATTATCAGCTTGGAACTGGAATACAGGGCAGTGTGGACTCAGATAACCCAGTTAAAAGCAGATATTGTGGGATTATCATCTTGGAACTGGAATATAGGGCAGTGTGGATTTAGATAACCCAGTTAAAAGCAGATATTGTGGGATTATCAGCTTGGAACTGGAATATATCGTAGTGTGGACTCAGATAACCCAGTTAAAAGCAGATATTGTGGGATTTTCTGCCTTGATATTCTGGGTTATAGGGCTGTGTGGATGGGCCCATAGAATACCAAAGCAGATAATGCACACTATCTGCTTTGAACTGGGTTATCTGAGACTACACTGCCATATAATCCAGTTCAATGTGGATTTTAGACAGCAGTGTGGAAGGGGCCTCAGATAATCAAGTTCCAAGCAGGTATTGTAGATTCTCTGCCTTGATATTCTGGGTTAAACCACTCCAAGTCGGCTGTGGGATGAGAGGGGTGGTATATAAATGTAGTAAATAAAATGAAATAAATTATATGGTTGTGTGGAAAAGGTCTGGGTTGTGTGAGTCCACGCTGCCATATAATCAAGTTCAGTGTGGATGTTAGACAGCAGTTTAGATAATCCAGTTCCAAGCAGATATTGTAGATTCTCTGCCTTGATATTCTGGGTTATATGGCTGTGTGGAAGAGGCCTGGGTTGTCTGAATCCAAAATGCCATATAATCTAGTTCAAATCTAGTTCAAAGCAGATAATCTGGATTTTATATGCAGTGTAGAAAAGGGCTGAGATCATTTTGCAGGTGATAAAAAACTTTAAGAGGTTTTTTTTCCCTTCATAAGTAGGAAATTGTAGCCTGTTTGTCTCCCACCAATCAAGGGGCCCTTCTACACTGCCATATAATCCAGAATATCACGGCAGATAATCCACAATATCTGCTATGAACTGGATTATCTGAGTCCACACCACCATATAATCCAGTTTAATGTGTGCTAATTGCTGTCTGGCAGGGTCCTATGGGAGATTTTCTCCATAACTGAGAATGGAAAGACCCAGTTTGATCATTTTTATTAGCAAGGTATTTAAATGAACATGCCAGGCGTATTCAGGCCAAACTTTAATGCTGCACAGGGGAAGGGGGAGCCTCAGAATAGGAGTCCAGTTTCAGGGCTTTGTTGGACTCGCCAACAATAGGTTGAGGCGGATTCTGATGCAACTTCATTGGTCAGAAGGCGGAAGGTTATAGGCCAGTGAGACTGAGCTCTGAGGCCCTCAGAACGTGGCTCAAGCGAAGCAGGGCTCAGCCACCCTGTAGGCCTCAGAGGGCTTGCCAGGAGTTGCTGGGGTTTGGTCCAAGCAAAGCAGGGCTCAGCCACTCTGTAGGCCTCAGAGGCCTTGCCAGGAGTTGCTGGGGTTTGGTCCAAGCAAAGCAGGGCTCAGCCACCTTGTAGGCCTCAGAGGCCTTGCCAGGAGTTGCTGGGGTTTGGACACACAGGTGGATACTGAAATCCATAGATGCACAAGACCCATTACAGTCACCCCTCCTTATTTGCAGTGTTTGCATTTGTAGATTAGATCATTTGTGGATTTTTTTCTCAAAGAATCTCTAGGGCTGGATCTACACTACACTATATCCCAGAATTTGATCCCAGATTATCTGCTTTGAACTGAATTATATGAGGCTGGATCTACACTGCTCAAGCTCCCAGGATCTGATCCCAGATTATCTGATTATCCCAGATTATCTCGCAGGGTAGACTCATATAATCCAGTTCACTCTGGGATCAAATCCTGGGATATAGGGCAGTTTAGATTCAGGGCCCTTCCACACAGTATATAACCCAGAATATCAAGGCAGAAAATCCCACATCTGCTTTGAACTGGGTTTTCTGAGTCCACACTTCCATATATTTCAGTTCAGAGCAGGTAATGTGGGATTTTATTCAGCTGTGTGGAAGGGCCTCATATAATCCAGTTCAAAGCAGATCAGATCCTGGGATATAGGGCAGTATGGATCCAGCCTAGGTCATCCACTGTGACTATATCTCCACTGCCATATAATCAAGTTCAAAGCAGATACTCTGGATTTTATATGGCAGTGTAGATAGGGCCTGTGAATTTGTGGTCAGCATCTTCTTGTCATGCTGGAAGTCTACAGATTTCTGAAGAGAACATCTCTCTAGGGCTGGATGTACACTGCCATATAATCAAGATCAATGTTTCTCAAACTGGGCTCCTCCAGATGTTTTGGACTTCACCTCCCAGAAATCCCAGCTAGTTTAACATCTGTTAGGATTTGTGGGAGCGGAAGTCCAAAACACCTGGAGAAGCACACTTTGATCCAGTTGATCAAATCAGATAATCCACATTATCTTTTTTGAACTGAATTATATGAATCTACACTGCCATATAATCCAATTCAAAGCAGATCATCTGGATTTTTATGACTGTAGAAGGGGCAGGAGAATCAACTTCCATATGTAAGACTTTTATATGGTCTCAAAGTAAGGTCCTTTCTAGACTGCCATATAAAATCGAGGTTATCTGATTTGAACTGAATTATATGGCAGTGTAGAAGTGGCCTTAATCTTTAGAAATATGGTCTGTAACGTCAAGTGAATTGATGAATCCCTCCCTCATATTCTTCATGCCATTTTGAACCCACACCTGTACTATTGCGCTTTAAATTCAAGGTTATCCAGTAGACCGGGCATGGGCCAACTTTGGCCCTCCAGGTGTTTTGGACTTCACCTCCCACAATTCCTAACAGCGGTTAGCTGGCTGGGATTTCTGGGAAGTTGAAGTGCAAAGCACATAGAGGGCCAAAGTTTGCCCATGCCTGCAATAGATTTGTGAGCTCCATCTACATTACCCTATAATCCAGTTTCTGAATCCAGATTCAACAATTTTTTGTAAAGTAAAAGAGTAAAGGAAAAAATTGTCTAAAGTTGGGGCAAACCCTGAACTTTGCTTCTTTGCTGGGAGGGCTGATGTTGATCTTGCTATGTGGGAATTCCTGGTAGTACTGCTGTCATGGAAAGATCATTATCTGGTGGGGCTTAAACTACTATAATTCAGAATCACTGCAAGAATGACACAGGTAATTTAGATGGCTTGTCCAGGAAGCTAAATATCTGGATTGCTTAACTGATAGCACTTTTGGATCTTTCTGCAGCCTTGGGTAAGCAATGTGTTGAAACTCTTGTTGACCTCTGGAATGGGGAAACATCCTGAGAGGTGGCCACAATTGCATTCACATTTCTGCTTTCTAAAAACGAGCAAAACGTGCCCCCAGTTTATTGTTGCTGTTTGCCTTCAAGTCCTTTCCAATTTATAGCAACTCTTTCATCCTGATAAGATTTATTTATTTATTATTATTTACAGTATTTATATACTGCCTTTCTCACCCTTGCGGGGGGACGGGGACGGGGGATGGACGGACTCAAAGCGGTTTACACATACATAATGCAAGATTAAATGCCTTACGTTATGCACCGATACAATGCCAATACAAACAATTACAATAGTAAAACCACAATTAAATATAAATAACAATTAAAACAACACATCAACAAGCATTAAAACAATAAAACAGTCTTGTCAGTCAAATCGCCATGCCAGGAGAATTGCCTTCACCTTCCCATAATCCCCAAGATGATCCCCAAGATATCTTGCTGATTATTTACAATAGCTACATATCCTGAATCATGCCAGAAGTCTATTTTGGACCCCTATATGACATTCAGGGATTTCCAGCCCCTAACCTGGTTTTAAAATGGCTAAACCGATTTTACATCATATTAGCAGAAGTCTGGGAATGTTCCAGAGCGTTTCTGAAACTTCAGGGGTGGTATGAATAGCTGGGACACTTCTCATTCAAACCAGCCCAGCTGTTCACACATGGCAGTAACACCATCTCCATTCCCCTCCATTGTGCAGTGTGGAGAAAATGAGATAGCACCTTTGTTGTTGTCTGTCACTGTGTCAGCAACCACACATCCAGAGAGCTTCTGGATGGCACCACACACCTTGGTTGATGTCAAAGGAGCA